TGTTCTTTCCAATTATATATATATATATATATATATATATATATATATATATATATATATATATATAATATATAGATATTGATATATATATATATATGAATGTAACTGAGATATTGATCAAATTATTAATCCTTACGCCCCTTTTTTTTAATAATTGCTCTAGCCGTTACCGTTAATAATGACTAGGCTTATAAAACGCGTAAATTTCAAAAATTACTTATTCCCAAAAATTTCGCTTGAAGATGTAACAGAGCTTGGTACTTTAATTCAAATAATTATATTGAAGTTTTTGGCTCTTGTTTTGAAACATGAGAACTCTTATGTAGCAATGGGATCATATTTTTAAATAAATAATTATATATATATATATATATATATATATATATATATATATATATAAATATATAAAAAAATAAAAAAGAGTAGTTAGCTAATGGGTTGGTAGATACCCGTCTACCCAATCCCTATTTCAGACGCTCGCTCAGGCACACTTGTGTTTGCACGAAACCCTCAGAGCTCACCTGTAGTTTATACAGCAACTATGCTGAGAAGACCTTAGTTGCAGAAACTGGGAGAAAGAGCTTGTTACTTAGCGTGATCAAAATTTGAACAAGGACAACACACTCAAGTACTCGGACACGATGACATCTAGCTTTCTTTCGAGCAGAGTCATCAACCGTCTACCCAATTACACTCACTTTCCAAATGTGCCGCACCCGGGATTCGACCTCGATCCATTCCGATAACATCGGGAAGTTTTCTTCCTGACAAATCGGCCATGGTGGGGATTCGAACCCGGGTCTCATAGCCAGAAAGCGAACGTTCTAACACTCGGACACAGATATATACACGTCCGAGTTGATTTGGAGGAATATATTGATTCTTCTCTATCAAAGTGTTTTATATATATATATATATATATATATATATATATATATATATATATATATATATATATATATATATATATATATATATATATATATATATATATATATATACGTCCGTGTGAGCAAGTGTTTGTGACTCATCTTTGATTTGTCACCGAAGCCGACTTTTATGAACGACTCTGATTACGACGTCGAAAATCAATAATAGAACGTAGTTGGCAGTTTTTCTTCTGTTTTGATCGATTTACGTTTGTTTTCTGTTGTTGCTTTTATCTTAGGTTTGATTGTTTTTCTGCGGACATAAATTTCTTGTTTCTGCATCGAAAGGAAAAGTGAGAAGCATTAGCGAAGACAAAAAAAAAGAACAGAGATACGAACGGGAGGGACACGGAGAGAAAGAAAGAAGGAGACAGAGAGAGAGAGAGAGGGAAAAAAACAGCGCAAAGTCGAAGGCAAAAATGGATGGCCGAGACAAAAATGGCGGCGAAGGGAAACGCGAATATAAAAACAAGGAAATATCCTTTGTAAAAATGTAAGGGGAGACGGGTGAGTGTAAGTGATCCGACCGACCATACGGTTAAAGCAACAACACCGTTTGTTGTGCCGCCACCCGTCTGGGAAATGTCTCTATATCAGCTAAGTGTGGCGTCATTTTTAAAGATTCCACTGACATCTCCGTCTGTCAGTAATATATATATATATATATATGTGTGTGTGTGTGTGTGTGTGTGTGTGTGTGCGTGCGTGCGTGTGTGTGTGCGTGCGTGTGTGTGTGTACAGACATATATGCCTGCATGTATACATACATATCAATATATATATATATATATATATATATATATATATATATATATATATATATTTATATATATATATATATATATATATATATATATATATATATATATATATATATATTTGGTTGATAGATGAGTTTGTGACCCTGAGTTTCACGCTTTAGCGATCGTCAGACAAACTGATTAATGTTTTAAAAATTTGGGTTTATGTAGATTGCGTGTATTGGTGTTATTATGGAAGTGGTGGGGAAATTTCGTCGTTTTGTCATTCATCGTACTAACGCAAACATCGATGTATGCAGACACATATACATACTTGGTCATCCGTCGGGACTCATGCATATATAAACATATGTGGACAGTTTCGGCTATGACACATTTATGTCTACGGGTGGTGTTACTTTGCCTATACGAAAAAGTAGCAATAATATTACACAAACCGCAAAAGAACTTACTAAACAAAAAATCAGAGATAATCTCCAAATGTAGGCATGAGAACAAGTACCTATTATCCGAATTCATACCAAACGGATAAAACAGACAAACCACCAACAATCACAATTTAATTTCAAGATACCATCAAAATAATTGCACCTATCATTATTATAATTGCACCACCATTAGTAATCACTTTTACCACTCTACAATATCTATTAACTAACAATATTATCATTACCACCAACACACAGCACCATCACTTACACATCACACCCACTATTAACATATAAATCCACTACAATCTTTATTACTCCCCCAGCATATTTAATACCTTAAAACAATATGATCAGATATAATTTCCATATGTAACCATGAGAATAAACACCTATTACCAGGCAGCTTTAATATAATAACAATAATAATTTTGTAATTAAAAAT